GCTCTTCAACACTTTAAAAAGCTATTGTGAAGCAGAATTGCCTAATGCAATACATTGATTTCTTGGCTGCTGCTTCCATGAGTGTTGATAGTTGATCTAAGAAGAATGAAGTCCTTGACAACGTCAGTCTTTTCTCTGTTGATAAAATGTTGTTTATTGGTCCAGTGGTGAGGATTTTTGTTTTCTTTACACTGAGATGCAATCCATACCGAGACTGTGGTCTTTGATCGTCATCAGTAAGTATTTTAAGTCCTCTTCACTTTCAGCAAAAAAAGGCTGTATATCATCTGCATATTGCAGGTTGTTCATGAGTCCTCCTAAAATCCTGATGCCACATTTTTCTTCATATAAGTCAGCTTCTTGGATTATTTGCTCAGCATACAGGTTGAGTAAGTATAGTGAAAAATACAACCCTGTTGCATACCTTTCTTAATTTTAAACCATTTGGTGTTCCCTTGTTCAGTTTCAACAGCTGCCTCTTGGTCTATGAACAACTGCCTCATGAGCACAATTAAGTGTTCCAGAATACTCATACTTTACAATATTGTCCATAGCTTGTCATGATCCCCACAATTGAAAGCCTTTGTGTAGTCAATATAGCACAGATTAACAGTTTTCTGGTATTCTCTGTTTTAAGCCAAGAGCCATCTGATGTCAGCAATGATAACCCTTATTCCCTGTCACCTTCTGAATCCAGCTTGAACCTCTGGAAGCTACCTCAATGAATAGAAAACAAAAACTTCAGCACTGGACCCTATAAATGGAGAAAAGATTGAAGTTGGCAAAAACTTCATTTTGCTATGATAAACCATGAACACACATGGAAGCAGAAGACAAAAAATCAAATGACATATTGCATTAGGCAAATCTGCTGTACAAGACCTCTTTAAACTGTTGAAGGGCAAAGATGTCAGCTTGAGGACTAAGGTGCACCTGACTCTAGACATGGTATTTTCAATAACCTCATATGCATGAAAAATTTGGACAGTGATTAAAGAGACTATAGAAGAATTGATGCATTTGTGTTATGGTGTTGGAGGAGAATAATGAAAATACCTTCGATTGCCAAAACAACAAACAGATCTGTGTTGGAAGAAGTGCAGTCAGAATGGTCCTTGGAAGCCAGGATGGCTAGACTTCATCCCTTATACTTCAGACATGTTATCAGGAGGGACCAGTCACTGGAGATTATCATATTCGGTAAAGTAGAGGCTAAGAGGAAGACCCCCAGCTAGATGGATTGGCAAAATGGAAGTATCATTGATATTTAAATGACCAGAGACATAGCTTTGAGTATCACAGCAACATGCAATCCATCACAGTATGACACCCTGACAGACCAGTGGTGGTTATAGATAATAAACATTATAAATTAGGAAATAGGTTAAGGATGAGGAAACTGTGATTAAGAGCAATTCTGTACCTTCCCTCAAGTCCAGAAGTATCATTCAAATCCAGATCATTCTGAATCTAGAGACCATGCTCGTTATTTTTATGCTGTGCTGACTCTAAGAACAGCACTTGGAAACTTTCGGAAAATTGATCTGGAAGTTGATATCCAATCAAAACACCTAAAAATCTAGTCACAACAAGCTAATGATTCATTACAGTTTCTTTAATAGATGCTCACTGGTCCTATTGCTGGCAAAAAATGAGCATACCCCTAAATTTAACACAACCAGTGATTAAATTAAGGCCCACTGACACAGGATTTGTCACACTTGTTGCTGTTCCATATATGAACAGTAAATTAGTAGTTAGATCCCAGAATCAGTTAGAGGGGTAAATGTAACTGTTCAATGGAAGGATGAAGCTGACAGCACCTGAACCCAGTGCTTATTCTCAGCCACACCAGTGGTAGAAAAACCAGAGGTAGTCTCTGTGATTCCTAAAGACAAGAACAAATCATCCAAGATGATTTCTAGCCAAAACATATACTTGGATCTCATCCAGCCTTTGGGTCTAATCTTCAATTTCAGGAATTACAGGAAACAGAGGAATAAACAAAATAACAGTAGTAGGGGGAAATGAGACAAAGCTAGACGGTGAGATATTTTCCAGAACAACTGGCCTGGTCAATTCGACAAACCAGTCTATAGGGGGGTGGGTGAGGAAAACACTGTTCTAGATTAAAATACTTAAGCAACATAACCTCCAGATCCTCTATATGGTCCTGCACTAAATTCAGCTTTAGACAAGTGAGCTGTTAAGGACATTGTAACAACAACTATGGAAATAGGAGCATGATGAATGCTAAGCAATGTTAAGACCAACTATACTCGCTTTCATCATGATAATCTAGCTACTTAACATAAATATTTTTGCTATTCTTATTTTTAAGGGCTATATACTGAAGTATTTAGAGATAAAATATGCCAGTGCAAATGTTTAGAGTATGAAAAGATGTCAGCTGGGAAAAAACAGTGAGGATGAAAGGTTCATAAATCATGCTTCAGTGTAAGGATTATGTTTTAATTGGGAAAAATGACACTTGGACAAAAAGCTGCTGTCTCAAGAGGTCTGCCCTCCAAAGAGCAAAACAGGATATTTTTCCAATTTAAAGTAAAATATTTACTTGTTTAAAAATCCCTTAATATAGTTTTAGAGACATTTTTTGGCTCATTATACCAAATAAGAAACGGAGAAGTCCTGGGGTGGCACTGAAAGATAATACACTGGACTGCAACATAGGTCTGAAGAGCAAGGCCAGTGCTTTAAACTCACCAGCCGCTCCTTGAAAACTCTATAAAGGTCACTATGAGTCACAATCGACTCAATGGCACTTGAAAACAACAAAGAGAAGGACTAGAAAATTATAATATTTCAGAATAATCATAACTGAGGCACAAAGCAATGTTGATTTTCACACCACTGGTGTGGTGCTGTGGGTTACTGCACCAGACTGCAAAGCCGTTGGAACTGCAAGGTCGGTGGTTTGAGCTCACCAGCTGCTCCTCGGAAACCCTATACAGGGTCGCTATGGGTCGGAATCGACTCAACGGCACTTAACAACAACAAATCATGGGGTGGTACTGTAGGATAAGCACTGAACTGCAAGATTGGTTTGAACCACAAGTTCAGCAGTTCAAACTTATCAGCTGTTTCTCGAAAACCCTATACAGGGTTGCTATAAGTCAACTCCACAGCACTTAACAACAACAAGCCTGGGGTGGTTCTGTAGGATAAGCACTGGACCACAAGGTCAGCAGTTCAAACCCACCAACTGCTTCTTGGAAACCCTATGCAGGGAGCTCTGGTAGCGTAGTGGTTACGAATCGGGCTGCGAACCGTAAGGTCAGCAGTTCGAAACTACCAGCCGCTCCGCGGGAGAAAGATGAGGCTTTCTACTCCCGTAAGGATTTACACCCTCGGAAACCCTGTACAGGGTCGCTATGGGTCGGAACCGACTCGACGGCACTTAACAACAACAACAACAATAACAACAATAACAACATGTTTATTGCAGAAGTCCTGGTGTGGCACTGAAGGATAAGCACTGAACTGCTAACTACAAGGTCAGCAATTCAAATCCATGAACTGCTATTTGGAAACCCTATACGAAATCACTATGAGTTTGAACCAACTTGACTGCACTTAACAACATCTTTATTGCACAGAGCACTGGTGATGTTATAAGATAAGCATTGGATTATTAACCATAAAGTCAGCAGTTTAAAACCACCAAGTGCTCTGCAGGAGAAAGAAAGATTTCTGCTTCTATGAAGAATTACATCATTAAAAACCCTACATAGGGAAAGGTAGACGTTTTGTAACAAAAAGAGGGAAATAGTTAATCTTATAGTTCAGGAATTGAGGAACCTGGGACCATCAAGGGAGAAGAGCAGGAGCAGAATGTGGGACTCTATCCAGAGAAGCAGCGACACATGAGAGATGGAGATAGAGATAAGGGCATGGAGAAATAGAACAGCTGAGGACTCTTAACTCGTGGAAAGAGAAAGTTTGTGTGCTGGCGGTCATGTGCAGTTTTGCAAAATGTGTCCTTTGGTTGTTTAAATGATCATATATTCTTGAGTGTTTTTGTGTACATCCCTCCCCTCAAAAACCACACAAAAACATAGGGAATAGAAGCAAATACTGTTGAATGATGATGAATGGACGAAATTGTAATCATTGCAATGAAACAATGAGTGTAAAACTGATATTCTCCCATGTAAACTATCACTCAATTCACACTTAAAACTTAAAAAAAAAAAGAAAAGGGAACAGGTAAATACTGGTAAATAATAGTACATGGAGGAGAGTGTAATCATTGCAATGAACAAAATATGATTTGTTGAATGTAAAACTAATGATTTGCCATGTAAACTTTCACTCAATTCACAATAAAATTAAAATTAAAGTTAAAATTTAAAAAACCTATACTGCATCTAACAACATCTTTATTGCACAGGCTTCATTTCTATCGAGTTGGTTCTGACTCATAGTAACATTATTTAGGGTTTCCAATGAACAATTGGTGGGTTTCAACTGTCCACCTTTTGGTTAGCAGTCCAGTGTTTATCCTACATCACTACAACAGGGGTCCTTCCATACCCTGTATGGGAACTAATACCTCTATACTTGAAACACATCCTTTGTTACAAGCAAATCTCTAACCAATAGAAGCAAAGTTCAAAAGTTTATATGATATCTGGGAAGAGAGGTGTTAAACTTTAGTTATTAGCCTAACTCTTAGTGTTCCATCACATGGCTTTGGACAAGTCACTCTAGTTGACAAACCTGGAAGGAATGTAAGGATTACCAATGAAAAGTAGACAAGGGCTTGGGGTTTTATCTAAGCTCAGTCACAAGCAGATTAGACCTGCAGAGTAAGCATAAACTCTCTACATGGAAACCACAGCCTAGTACAAAGATCAAAGGGTGATTTTTCTATTTGTTCAAAGAAATGTGCAATTTAAACAAACCCCATCTGCCTTTGGATAAGGAAATAATAGATCCAAAACCTGAAACCAAACCAAAAAAAAGCAATAAAAGCAAACCTCAGGCCAAGTTGCCTGCAGATCACTTCTGCATCTGCATCATCCCATTGGTCGTCACAAACGGTTCCCCACTGACCAGCATGGTAAACTTCCACTCGGCCTTCATATACACTGCTCCCTCCAACAAGGCGTAGGACTGGGAAGGATGGGCCTGTGGGATGTGAAAATAGAAACAAATGAAACCTATGTATTTCAATTGAGCAGTGGTATGGATTGAATTGTGTCCCTCAAAAATATGTGCTGCAACAGGTGGTAGGCTTGGAAAAGTGAAGGGTCCAACATTTCGAATATCAGGAGTACAGGTGAATGCCAAACTAGTCATCTCCCATGAATAAATAGCATTGCATAAGTCTATTCCTTCAGATTCAAGGGAAAGAAAACAGTATACTATCCCATGCCACACAAAGGCAGCTCATTTTGATAAAGACTGGGGCAAAGAAGGTGATTCCAAATTGTTAACTGGTATTTCTGAATAAGGATATGGAAGCTGGAAGATGATTAAAATGGATCCTGACCTCAGTTTAACACACAAGAATCTCCCAAATAATCCTGATAAAAAAAAAAAAACACAAGCAAAACAGTTGTAGACATGTGCAGACTATCTCATCAAATTATACAGTAAAGATCTTGCAAGAAAAGAAGGTCAGAGGCTTTCTGGTGCAGGAGGAGGTTCAAAGAGAAGAAAAGCAAGAGCTAAGAAGACTAAATCAATTAAGTCTATAAAAGTAAAAGAGGAAATAAAGAGTGATTGATCCCTATGCCCTCAGAAAAGTCTGAAGATTACGATGATAAATTGAGTGAGTGCAAGACAGATTGTTGTTGTTGTTGTTAGGTGCCATCAAGTCGGCACTGACTCATAGCGATCTTATGCACAGCAGAACGAAACAATGCCCGATCCTGGGCCAACCTCACTACTATTGCCACACTTGAGTCCATCGTTGCTGCCACCTGGACAATCCATCTCATTTGGGGCTTCCTCTTTTTCTCTGACCCTCCATCTTACCAAACAGATATCTTTCTCCAGTGACTGTTCCCTCTTGACAACATGTCCAAAGTATGAGAGACGAAGTTTGGCCATCTTGGCCTCTAAGGAGCACTCTGGTGGCACTTCTTCCAAAACAGATCTATTGGTTCTTTTGCAAGACTGATAGCAAGGAACAATCCAAAAAATCTTCAGCATCAGATACTCCAGTTCATATCACTGCAACTGGAGAACTAGTTCTCATATCTGAAGAGTCTAAAGAATTGAATCAGAAGACATTTAGCATTTGTAAAGAAAGAATGAGGCCTAAAAAAAGAAAAAGGAAAAAAAAAAAAAAAAGTGCTACAAATCCTAACCCCTAAACTGGTGTGGCGCTGTAGGTTAGCGCGCCAGACTGCAAAGCCATTTGAACTGCAAGGTCGGTGGTTCAAGCTCACCAGCTGCTCCTCGGAAACCCTACACAGGGTGGTCGCTATGGGTCGGAATCGGCTCGATGGCACTTAATAACAACAACAACAAACATGTGGATACAGAGGGATCTGTGAATAGAGTTTTTATTCTTACTTTGATGAGGCTGTATCAGAATAAATTTTATCTTTAGTCGATCACTTTTGAATATCAAAGGAGCATTTTAGGCACAGAAGTAAACAAGCACAAATGGAGAAAAACTGATGTCTGTGGAGATCATCAAGAAACTGAGTATGAGCGGCTGGAAGGCAAGGATTTTCCCCTAGAGTGAACAATGAGCGCATTCCACTAGAGCCAGCGCCCTGAATTCTGATTTGTAGTCTCCGTAGAGTAGTGGTTATGAATTGGGCTGCGAACCGCAAGGTCAGCAGTTCTAAACTACCAGCTGCTCCGCGGGAGAAAGATGAGGCTTTCTGCTCCCGTAAAGATTTACAGCCTCTGAAACCCTGTACAGGGTCGCTATGAGTCAGAATCGACTCCACGGCACATAACAACAACAACAACAAACAGTCAGAAAATAAATTTCTATTCGTTAAAGCCACACACTTGTGCTGTTTCTCTTATGTTGTTGTTGTTAAGTGCCGTCGAGTCGGTTCCGACCCATAGTGACCCTGTACAAAGTTTCTTTACGGGAACAGAAAGCCTCATTTTTCCCCAGTAGAGTGGCTGCTAGTTTCGAACTGCTGACCTTAAAGTTTGCAGCCCGAAATGTAACCACTATGTTACCAGAGCTCCTAGCTGTTTCTCTTATAGCAACAATAAAATACGCAGCGAAATTCAGTTTTTCTTTTCCGTTCTCAATACATTTTATTTTTTTCAAACTGCAATGGAGTAAATTGTGAATCATTGTAATCCCATGTGTATCAGGGTGAAATTGTGCTCCACGGGATTTTCAAAGACAGATTTTTTTTTTAGAAATAGATTACTGAGACACCCCTGGGTGGACTTAAACCTCCAATTTTCAGTGAATTAAAAAAAAAAAATGTATATATAACCATCCCCTGAAGAATTCTGTGTTCTTCAATTTGTTGTTATTGTTGTTAAGTGCTGTCAAATCAATTATAACTCATAGTAACCCTGTAGAGGGTTTCTAATGAGTGGCTGGTTTTGTGAACCGCTGACCTGGTGGTTAGCATCCCAGTGCTTATTCTACAGTGCCACATCAAGACTCTTCAACTTATACCATATCAAAACAGCAGTTTTGCCATCATTGAGGGCTTCAAATTGTGTTCCTTTCCAATATTCTTTGAGTTCTGGCACACACACACACAAAAAATCTGAAGGGCCAAGATTCGGGCTCTAGGGTGGATGGGATAAGGTTTCTGCAACAAAATTTTCCTAGGACAGCCCTTGGTACTCTCAACGAATGAGTTGAGGAAAAAAAAAAAAATTCCTCAACACCAATTCCTTGTCCTTTTTTCACCAATACAATTCAAACTTTTTTGAAAACCTCCTCATAATAAGACACATAATTGTCCTTCATTCTTCAAGAATCTATCAAGATTACTCTTTTGTTGTTGTTCTGTTATTAGGTGCCATCAATCAGTACTGACTCATAGTGACCCTATTCTCAACAGAATGAACACTGCCCAGTCCTGGACCAACCTCACAATTGTTGCCACGCTTGAGCCCACTAAGGCTGCCACTTTGCCACTCCCTTTGGGATCCCAAAAAACAATCACCATAACATTCTGAAATGACCTCTGCCTTGAGTTTAACTGGCCCACTAGATACACTAAGGAGCCATAGTTTTGACTGACCCTGTTGTTATGAAGGCACCATGATAAGAAAAGTTCATTACTAAGAGACTTATCTGCAGCTATCCACTGATCACAGTGACATGTCTAAACAAGTTTTGTTTGGAATAAACTCTCATATATACAACTGTTGCTGCTGTTGTTAAGAGTTTTCAAGCCTGTATAGGGTTTTCAGTAATTGACTGAACTTGCAGTTGAGTGTTTATCATACAAGGATTCCTATATATACAAATATATAAGGAATAAAAGAGCACTTGAACAATAGCAACAAGAAAAAACATAAAGAGCTAAAAATAAGCATAAGAAATATTTAAAACCAAACAGGAAAACTTTAAAATATCCCTGAAAGTAACTGCTGTGTATTTGAAAAATGACAGGTGATCCATGTTCATGGATAGGCTGTCTCAAGATAACAAAGGTTATAAATTAACATGTATATGTATTGCAAAGTCAAGAAAAATACATTTTACCCTACAGTTGGAAAAATTGATAATTAAGCTCATATGAAAGAATAAACAAGCAAAAATATCCAGAACAATAAAAACTTCTGAAAAGAGCAATGATGGGAGGTTAACCTTATCACCAGGCTTAAAAATAGTCTATAAAAGATACTGCAAATGAAAGATTGAGGTATAATAATATTAATGGACAAACAAACAGTAGAAATTCTCTCAATTATATCTGGAAATTTGTAGTTGCAACCAATATATTACATACAGGAGACAACATTGCCAAGCTACATCACTTTCCTGACATTAAGGGGTACATCACACTGATAAGCCACTCCCCCCACCCTTATCCCTAAACCCATACTGTCCTTGTATGCATACATTTGTGTAAAATATCAGAGGACATAAATATATGTTCTAGAAAAGGATATATTAAAGATATACACATAATATTCTTAGACTATTAATAGTAGTTATTTGGGAGGGGGGATAACAATTGGATGAAACTGGGAAGAAACTTAGTTTTGATGATCTATTTTAAAGAGTAATTTCTTTTCTGGGTATGTCTGCTTTCTTCTAAAACCAAAAACCACTGCTGTTGAGTTGATTCTAACTCATAAAGACCTTTTTATTGTTGTTAAGAGCTGTCAAGTCAGTTCCAACTCATAGTGACCCTGTATAGGGTTTCAGAGGAGCAGCTGGTGGATTTTAACTGTCGACCTTATAGCTCAAACTGAGCTTATGGTCCAGTGTATTATCCTGCAACCCACACCAAGACTCCAGAGACCTTGTATAACAGAGTAAAACTGCCCCATAGAGTTTCTAAACTTGCAGTCTTTATGGAAGCAGACTACATCACCTTTATCCCACAGAATCATTGGTGGGTTTAAATCACTGACCTTTTGGTAACAGGTGAGGGCTTTACTCACTGTACCACCAAAGTTCCTTATTTCTTCTATAATGATTAAATAAATCAACAAAGAAACTGAGAAAAAAAAAACCAAAGAGAAACATTATCTTATGTATGAATTTACCCGTCTATGGTGTAGTGGCACTGGACTGAACTGCTAACCTCAAGATTGGCTATTCAAACTCACAAGCTGCTCCTCAGAAACTCTATACAGGGTCTCTGTGAGTCAAAACCAGCTCAACAGCTCTTAACAACAACAGCATAATGTAGTGGGTTAAGCACTGTGCTGCAAATCATGGATCAAAACCAGTCCAAAGGAAGCTGAGACTGCCTACTCCCATAAAAATTTACAGTTTCAAAAACCCTAAGGAGTAGTTTTACTCTGACCTACAGGGGTAGCTGTGAGTCAGAATAGCCTCCATGGCAGTGGGTGGGATGGAGCTATTTAGAATTTTAATGGATAACATTTTAGATGAGCTGGAATGGCTATGAGTGCTCATCAAGATCCTACTCAGCATAAAAAAATGTAACAGCCTTCAATTCCTATTCAGTGATCTCAGTTCTAATCTCTGGAATCATCTTCTACTAGAGAATGCAGGCCCTTGCAGACAGTTATCATAGCTTCATCCCTGGATCCTATCCTCTTCCACTCCCTAAGCAGGCCTCTCCTTTACTTAATCTTGGAAGTAGCCTTGCATAAAAATATATACTTGGCAAGATCAACATCACCCAAAGGTGGAGGTTCAAAAGAACAACAGGAAAATCTTACATGATGACATCAAGTATTAACATGCCCCTCCTTACCAAAAAAAAAAAAAAAAAAAGAGTTGAGAGTCTCAAAATACATACTTGTTCCAAACACTTCCATTAGTTTTTCCAGACAATCTACAAGAATTTTTCTAAACTAGTACTTTCTGTGTTTTGTGGTAGAAGCTTTTGAATTCTTCCACTGATAAGTTTAATCAAACAGAAACCACTGCCTTTGGCTGGCTGATAACACTTCAAGACCTGGGACATCTGGTCATGTTATTATCCATAGAGAAAATGCAAATTAATTAATTAATTAATTAATTAACGCTGTAGTAGTATGATAGGGTTGTGGTCACACAGCAGAATATACGAGCATCAGGATCCACAGAAAACCTACTAGCCACATTGAATGTCAACTGTTTCCTTCTCTATTTAAATTCATATGAACAAATACTTAGTTTTATACTGAAACCAAAGAGCACTGGTGGTATAGTGGTTAAGTGCTCAACTGCTAATTGAAAGGTCAGCAGTTCGAACCCACCTGCTTCTTTCTAGGAGAAAGATATGGCACTCTGCTTCTGTAAAGATTTACAACCTTGGAAGCCCTTTGGGACAATTCTACTGTCTTGTAAAGTGGGTTACTATGAGTTGGAATTGACACAACAACAAAGGACTTAAAAAAAAAAAAACTGTATTGAAAACATATTGTTAATTACCACATAATGGAAAAAGCTGTAATGCAAGATAGCAATAATTTTTAGGGAAAGTGCTACCTACAACTCAAAGGAAAACTGATATGATTTTGTTGTTTTATTAAGTGCTGTCAAGTGGGTTCCAACTTATAACAACCCTGTATAGGGTTTCCAAGGAGAGTTGGCACTGTAGGATAAGTACAGGACTTTGAACCACAAGGTTGACAGTTTGAGCCCACCAACTGTTCCAAGAAAGATGAGCCCACCAACTGCTCCAAGAAAGCTTCTATCCTGAGGCTTTCTATCCTGCAAAGATTTACAGCCTTGAAACCCCCATATAGTGTCACTATGAGTCAAAACCTACTCGACGGCATTTTAGCAACAATAACAATATATGATATATATTATTGCCATTAGTGAACCCTGGTGTGGCACTACACTACTAACTGCAAAGTCGGTAGTTTACACCCACCAGCTACTCTCAGAAACCCTATGCAGGTCTCTGTGATCCTACAGCATACAACAACAATTCCTAAAAGTATAAAAAATAGGAGCAATTTTTTAAATGAGAAATTACATAAAAATATAATTAGATTCAAATCATTAGATATATTCATATGAAGACTATTTGGTTAAAATGTAGAAAATAATGATTCAGTCTGTGTTTAAACTCTCCCAGGAAATGATTTAACTAAGACACTTATCATCTGGAACCATGTTTGAAAGACAATAAAAGTCAAATGAGAATAAATAGTTTTTTTACCATGGGAAAAGCTGCACGTGACAGCAGCTGCCATCTTCTGAGGACACGCCTCACCCTGCCAGATATCTTTTGCACAAAGCAGTATATTTTCTTCGTCTCCTCGGCAACGAACATTGCTCCAGTAAATGGGAATAAGGCCCAGTGCAGAAAACGGTGTTTGTTTTGCTACTCCTTTTCCTCTGGAAGTAGAATGATCAATGTTAGATTTAATAAACATAGGTAAAATATTTTTTTAAACATTTAGATTTTTAAACATAGATGAAATTAAAACAAAAAAGTGCACATGGAAAAGAAGAATGAAAACATAATGAATTATGTGAGTTTCAAGGGGAAAAAGTGCCAGATCAGAACTTGGAATGATCAGGACACTCTAAATGGTGCTTTCAACAATTTTGAATAACTATTAAGATGCCTATACCTTTACCACCTATGGCTGTCTTTAGAAGAAAATGAGCATTACTGCACATAGAAAAATAGAGTCTAGGTGATCTCATATAAGAAGTATAGAATGAGGCCCAATAAGGCTTGGATTCCGATGTGGACTCAGTTACAGATCACTCTCCAAGGAACTGTCTTTTAAGAAATCTGGATGCTTGAAGATATTTTCTGACTCCAGTATTCTAGGGTAGCATTTACAAAACTATTATTATCATAACATCTAAGCAAAATAATACCAAAAGAGAAATCTATTTATAATTTTTAAACCTTATATACATTCTTTGCTAATAAGATTTTGAAACCACTTATTACAATAATAACTTGCAGATGGGCTCTACTCTTAGTCCATCCAATCCCCATATTTTATTTTAAAAAATAACCTCTGATGTGTAAGAACTGATATGAAATTTAAAAAATTAAATGCTTATCTGATTAGCATGGTAATCTCTAGAGTTGTCTCCATGAGACAGATTCCATGAACCAAACAGTAAACTTGGGGTATGTCTAAACTATGAACGCCTCAACAGCAATAAAGCTGGGCTGCTCTATTGTTATCATGTAATAGTTTTTCATTGAACTAATAAAAGATGATTAAGTAATCAGATGGGCTTATCTGAAGTTTATGTTTGTTGAAGGATAGTTTACATTCTTTATTAATAGGAAGAGTAGTCACTACACTATAATTCACATCTCAACAATATTATCCTTGTTTTCTTTATGCCTGTGGCTAACATGAAATATTTTTTCTTCGCTGATTTTCAGGGGTAATAAAACCAAATGTAAATACGTGTATCATGGGAGATTTGCCTACACATTTACTACATGGTACTGTAGGATAAGCACTGGACCACAAGGTCGGTTTGAATTTCAAGGTTGGCAGTTCAAATTCAACAGCTGCTCCTTAGAAACCTAAGCAGGGTCACTATAAGTCAGAAATGACTTGACAGCATTTAACAACAACGTGGATCCTCAAAGGAAGAAGCATCAAATCAATGTCCATTGTGATCTACCCACTGCCAATGGCTGTTTGTTAGGCTAACTATTCATTGATAATATCAACAATTACCATTCCTAAAGATGCTATAAAATCTGGAATTACTACTTCTTTCATCTTGATTTATACTAACTTTCATTACAAAAATAGGTGTGGTTCCGTAGGATAATGCACTGGACCTCAAGGTTGGTTTGAACCGCAAAGTTGGTGTTTCAAACTCACCAGCCACTCCTAGGAAACCCTATACAGGGTTGCTATGAGTCGGAACAGACTCAAGGGCACTTAACAACAACAATAACAAATTAATTTTAATTTAATGTCTTTAATACTTTAGCTCCATTTGCTTCTAGAATAGCATCAAAAGTTTGATAAAATGAATAAAAGCTAGACCAGTGACAAGACAGAATGGAGCTGGCAAGTTAAATTTCTTACTATTTTGGCTAGATTTGAGTAACTTCTCCATTTGTATCATCATACTAGATATTACCAGTGCCTGGTTATTAATCTAAAATATGTATAGTTTAGAAGTATTTCTTCAGTGTTTTAGACCTGCATTTTTAATAACAAAATATTACCCATGCTTTCTGAAGATTTCTGGTAATAAAGGATGTTATTATTGTTGTTATGAAATGTTGTCAAGTCAGTTCTGACTCATAACAGCCCTGTATAGGGTTTCCAAGTAGTGGTGCCATCGAGTTAGTACCGACTTATAGCAACCCTATCCACAATAGAACAAAACACTGGCCAGTCCTGTGCCAACCTCACAATCATTGCTACATTTGAGTCTACTGATGTTGCCACTGTGCCAATCTATCTCTCTGGGGCTCTTCCTCTTTTTCTCCAACCCCCCATTTTACCAAAAATGATATCCTTCTCGAGTAACTGGTCCCTCCTGACAATATACTTGAAGTATGAAAGACGAAGTCTGGCCATCCTGGCTTCCAAGGAGTACTCTGGCTGTCCTTCTTCCAACACAGATCTATTTGTTCTTTTGGCAGCCCA